CGTTCCGTTCACATAAGTTTTTCATAATTTTTCATACTATGTTTCCACTAGCCTCTCTCCGTTAGCATACAAAATTTGGTGCCATATCGTTACACATACATTGAGAACTAGTCATGTATGCAGTTACAAATAGCATCGCTTGGGCGACATCGCGGGTGCGGCAATTAACGACGGCGCGGTTTGACGCGCGCGAACTCCAGCGTTCGCCTGTTGAGGCACATAACATGTCAAGATAACTAGCGAGCATGAACTACCAATTTTTTTCCGGGGCTCCGCCCCGGACTTCGCAAAAACGATTTCCTCTTTGCTTTTTGGCCCCAAAACCATTTCCAGCTTGTCATTTGCCGACCTCGTGCCGGGCCCTGTTTGGGGTCAAAAGGGGCTTCGTGAATTTTGGACAAAGTCATGGGGGAGTTCGTTTTTAAAAAGCCTAGAAACCAGGGTCAAGCGCGTTGATGCGATCCAGGACCTTCATTTACGACCCCGCCCCCTCCCAAGGTACCCATCCGTACGACCCGCTCCCCACCTAATCCACCCCACTGCACTTGAACCTGCATAAACGAATGCGAATGTCGATCTCAAAAGATGCCTGCCAACCTCAGTTACAATCACAGATTCAAGAAAAATAACTACTCATAAATTGGGAGATAATGCAAGTGATGCTCCACTTCTTAAAAACCTCACAAATACCCTAATTTCACGCGTACAAGGCGTACAAGGCCCGGGGATTTTTTTCTAAAATCCGCCAGCCCAAACACGCCACAACACTTCGCGACCAAAGAACCCTATAGCGGGCTCCGTATTGCCTGAGAGAATTGAACGGTTTAAGATTTGCGTTCCGAAACAGGTTGAAGCGGTTGAGCGGCTTGTTTGAAAAGTCGAAAAAGGTGCGCCTTGTACGCGTGAACTAGGGTAGTTCTGCGTAGATTGGGTAAATGTAGTAAAATTTTACAAAGGTTTGGCTTTGTGGACGGGAAAATCTGGAAGGAAAGGACATTATCTGACAAAGATAAATATCAATTTTGACTGAATGATATATTTAAGCTGTACTCACCACGAATGAACGCAAAAAAATAAAATAATTTAACAACCAAAAAAATTCAACATTACGGCACGGTTCACTTCAGCCATGAAGTGAACCGTGCCGTAATGTTGCCCTTCAGCTATGAATGATTATTTTATAGTAACTCATTTTCTAGTAACAGATGATAAACTCTTCTGTCATTTATGAATGTTTATGAATGGCATAACATTGATGTTCCAGTGGTACCGAAGGATATCGACTATGGTTCTGGAAATTGGAACTTTTACACTATAATGACAGTCTCGTGTTCTATCCCCATACGCGACCTCATTTTTTTGCAGGGAAAAAACGATATCTTTGAAGCCTTAGAAATATTTTCGGGTAAAAAGCTTATTTCCTATCTTTTGCACAGATTTTTCTGCGGAAAACACCGCTCTGGCGCCATCCAGGACGATGTCAAAACGTGCATGAGCACGGTAATTTGAAAATTCGTAATTAAGTTAAGGGAAGGACTAAGAGGCTGCAATGAACAGGCTGTGTAGTATTGTGCCCAGACTGTTTGTGGAAAAAGTTTCAGCCATTGAAGAGCAGTGAACTCGAAAAAAATCTAGATGCAACTCTCGCAAATTTAGATGCGATCTTAAAAAGCAAAAACTGAGAATTTTGAGCTTGGAATTTTGTAACTTACCGGAGAAGTTTTGAAACAGCCTGAAACAGCCTTTAAGATGGAAAGTGGAATATGGCCCGTATTACGGCACAATTGCTGCCAACAAGCTTCAATAGCTCCCGAAAAGTTAGATGCGACCCAGATACGACCCCCTTCCTTCAGTTTCTGTCGCCATACATAAAATTATAAAGAAATCCACAAATTACGAAATAAGACCAGATGCACAACATTACGTAGCAGAGCATCTCCAAAAAGATAAATGGTAAGGGCTCGTGAAAAAATCACAAAAAGATTTAAAAATTATTTATGGTTATCGTCGGTGATGATATTCATCTTGTCGAGTGTGTGAGACTTCAGGGAGGCTTCGGAAGCAAGATTTCCAGGCCATTCGGTACATTTAGAATTTTTATCAAATTATATATACTTCAAAAGTATTTTGAGCTCTTGGAAATGTTTTTCTGTAGGAAAAGTGCAACTATCTGCGCTATCGGTCCATCTTCCTCGCCTTCCTCGCCCCGCCTCAAAGCTCGCCTCGGGGCTATATAAAGCATATGCCCCGCCCACGGTAGGTTCGGACTTGAGGCAGCTTCGCAGCTGCCTCTTCAACAAGATCGTCTCCGAATCTCCGCCCCCCCCCTCATTTTAATCACCCGCCCTCCATATTTATTTAATCTCTAATCATATGTTTATTCTACTATTCTCCTTCGCATAATTGCTTCGTATTTATTCACGTCCATTATACTGTTATGCTTATGTAAGGTTGAGCCGGAGCACTAGCTCCTGCCTCCTGCTTGACTACCCTCTATCTCAAACTTATCTATCTTCCACCTATCTATCCGCTATCTTATTTCTTATCTAATCATTCTTATACTTTTATCCCGCCCTGTTTTGCCGCCTACCGCTACACTTTTCATATACTATGCTTTGTTCATATTTGCCTGATAAATGCTTAGTAAGGAACTAGTTGAGTTTGATATATGCCGGTTGAAAGAATAGGAAGTAAGCGTTACTGAAAAGTCCAGCTACGGTACCACTCATAGCTTAACGACAACTGTAAACCATAAGTTCGTTACATGGAGGTTCCGGACCGGGTTTTACCTTTATAAAACTCGGCAAGAGAACGTTTATTTTACTAACCTATTCTAAACCATACACTATTGCCATATATTCACTTCTATAAGCGCATTAAGTCACATCTACGCCACTCTATCGCGAGGCCACATGAAAATTTCTCAACTTATGTGACTGGAGCAAACTGCTCCCCACTATTTTCATGGCGTAGGAAAAGCCTGGCCAGGTCGTCTAAGCGTCACCCTCGCGAATAGGGTAAAATTCAAAACAATTAAGTGACCGCTCTACAGTTCATGCGCAGTAAATTAGTATGTGTCTAAACTTACAACCTTACCTCCAACGACTCGGACCTTCCACAACGAATTCCAACCTTTCAGAACGCCTTCAACAACAACTTCCTGACATTTTCCCGTAACATTCCTCTCAATGATAGCATTATAAAAACAAATCGTTCTATACGAATCATTAATCAGAGTCCAGTCTTAAGAAAACCCCCCTGCTGTGGCTCAGGGACACAGCCGATAAGCGCGGGTTCTCACGTATAAATACCCCCTCCCCATGAACTCATACACCCATCATATTCATTCTTACCTAACCATGGAGCGACAAACGTTCCTCTCTCTCCTCTGCTTTTATCCCATTTTAGAGCATACTTTTGAAACTCTTTAATCCAAAAAAAAATTTCTAACATCCAGCCTCACTCTCTCCTCCGTCGCGTACTAATCACTTTTTATGTTGCAGAAACATGTTCTCTATCGTAACGAAAATCCACCACCTCATGATGGATCCGTACAACCAACGCTACAAGCATTCGCAAATTGGTGACGAATATGACTATTATCACTACTACGGCCGAATGCCAGCAGTGATGTTCGCAAGACAAGAGACATCACAAATATTAAGGTTCACCAAGATCATTGCATTACTCGAAGGAAAACACCTCGACTATATTTCGAACTATCGCCTCGAGGCCTATACCCACACGGCGATCGAGGAGGCCAGAAGCGCTGCACCTGTAAAATTTTTCTAGTCCCGGGGACCGGGACTTTCCGAAAGAAAATCATGTAGGGAAAGCGCAACCATCTGCGCTATTGGTCCATCTTCCTCGCCTTCCTCGCCCCGTCTCAAAGCTCGCCTCGGGGCTATATAAAGCGATATGCCCCGCCCATGGGAGGTTCCAACTTGAGGCAGCTTCGCAGCTGCCTCTTCAACAAGATCGTCTCCGAATCTCCCCCCCCCCCTCATTTTAATCACCCGCCCTCCATATTTATTTAATCTCTAATCATATGTTTATTCTACTGTTCTCCTTCGTATAATTGCTTCGTATTTATTCACGTCCATTATATTGTTATGCTTAGGTAAGGTTGAGCCGGAGCACTAGCTCCTGCTTGTCTATCCTCCACCTATCTATCCGCTATCTTATTTCTTATCTAATTATTCTTATACTTTTATCCCGCCCTGTTTTGCCGCCTACCGCTACACTTTTCATATACTGTGCTTTGTTTATATTTGCCTGATAAATGCTTAGTAAGGAACTAGTTGAGTTTTATAAATGCCGGTTGAAAGAATAGGAAGTAAGCGTTACTGAAAAGTCCAGCTACGGTACCACTCATAGCTTAACGACAACTGTAAACCATAATCGTTACATTTCGAGAATTTTCAAAGAAATTTCATCTTTATTATTCTGATTTTTACCTTTTTACAAATTTGTTGTGAAGAACATGTACTAATTATCTGCTCTTTGATTTCCTTCTAAGCTTACGCTTTTTTGCCAAACTACTTCTTCTTACAACCCCCCTCCCCACCTTAACTAACCACTTTACGATCCCCCCCCCCCGTTGCGACAGTTGCGCCACACGCTTGACTCTGCTAGAAACGGGCTCATGCCCGAGCCCTGGTTCGAACGCTGTGCTGGAACTGTTCCCGAACTTCCGGATCAGTATGAACGCAACCTAAGTTGAATCCAACACTACGGAAGACAAAAGGGACTACAACGACCAAACACGTATACTTTTGAGACAGCCTGTGTAACGAATGCAGACAGCTCGTCGAAGCAAGGTACTCAACTGACCAAACCCACAACAACACACGCCCTCAGGGATACACCAACTACGCATTCAGCGTAGTTATTTCAAAATTTGTGTTCTTGTCGCTGATGTTATTACGGCACGCACCTGAACACGACATTAACCACTCGTTCTCGGTGCACCTTCACAGCCGCTGCGTATCTCGCACGGGTGGCATTCGAGCGAATCTCTTTTGTTTGCTGTTCACGCACTCATCACTTTGCACGCTCTATTGCAGTTCTCTGGCGAACTTCCAGCGGAACAGCCAACAACAACTTCAGTATGGCATCGTCTTTCGGAATTAGCAGCGCTGTTGGAATAAACTGCATTGTTTTAGTAAGTTCCGTTTTTCGAACTCAAAAGTTCGGGGAATTTGGGTTGCAAAAGATATTATTGTGTCGTAATTCGCATTAGTCATAGGCGAGTTTCAGACACTTCTTTGTGATGCAAACGTTTTTCTCATGTCCCAGTATTTTCGAGAATCCTCCATACCAATTTTCGAATGACATTTATGAAATATTCAATTAATTTTCACTCAACTCTTGCACTTCATTTCTATATGCACTTTGTTGTGGGCGCACTGAAACTGAATCCCCTAAGTTTTTTCCAAAAATTATCCATTTACCGGTTGTTTTTGGAGGGTTGATTTTGACAGAATGTCTTTCAAACTCTCTGTATCCGATTAGCCCGCGGGCATATGTAGTTTACGCACATCATCGCTTGGCGATTCTTAACAAGAAAACTGTTACGAGTCCATTACATGTCGATCATCTACATTTGGTTTGTGATGGTTAGTTACGATTAATCGTGTAAACTGTCGAACAACTCGAAATGCAGGAAGGTCAGCATGCAGTGGACTCGTAAGGCCTTGGCCAGACTTCGCTCAAAAGCGCCCAAAAGCGCCCAGAAGCGCTCAAAAGCGCGCAAAAGCGCCCAAATTTCTCTGGTGTCTCTTCACTTTCTCGTGTGATAGGAGATGAGAGAGAGTGAGGAGAGGTTAGAGAGATTTGGGCGCTTTTGCGCGCTTTTGAGCGCTTTCGGGCGCTTTTGAGCGCTTTTGAGCGCTTTTGGGCGCTTTTGAGCTAACTCTGGCCAGGGCCTAACAGTTGTCTTGTTGGGAAACGCGAGGCGATGAAATCGCGTGAACCATGCCGGAGGCCTAAGGCATGAGCAGAAAGTATCTGGCAACATAATTCAGTTTATTTACTTTCCACTTTTTCGACGCCGATAGCTTCATGCTTGCAGGAAGAATAAAGCGGTGCGATTAAGTGCAGCAGTGGCTGAGCCACTTTGAGGCAACAATTTCGACTTTTCTCGATAAGAATGAAGCAGCTAAAACGAGGAATTGAGAAGAATGGACCAGGGTTTGTTGTTTTGATCTGCTTCGTGTATCTCCTCTAAATGCTTCTTATATCGAGGACAATGGACAGCATTTTTGTTTATTTTGTTGGAAGAGATCCTAGCTGTTCCAAGGTGGTACTGATTGCTTTTCAGGTATGTTGCCCTGGTTCCAGAAGAAGCAGAAGATATGTGGCATATTTACAATTTGATTAGGGTTGGTGATGTGGTCAAAAGCAAAACGATACGAAAGGTTAGAACTTCCACATTCTTTTATTCTCTCTTTCCTGAGATCTTCTTCTTTTTTTCGCAAACAGAGTTATGATACTCACGGCATTGCTTTCCTTGAATCCAGGTTGTAACCGAAACGGCAACTGGTACAACTTCTAGTCAACGAATGCATACCGTGCTCACGATACGTGTTGAATCAATTGATTTTGATCCTGGAGCTAATGCCTTGCATCTCAAGGTTGGTTTTATTTTTCAGATTGCGGCCCAGATTATATGAACACTATAGATTTGAGGGCACTACAAACACATTGTTGTACTCAGGGTTGGGCCAGACTTTGCTGCTTACGCCTCATAACTTTATACACGAGTGCATACGTCGCATATGCCGCGCACTGGCCCCGTAGTCACAGTTGGTTGGGGGACATAAGCGTGTCAGTTCTCTAAACCTAGACTAGAAGCATTTTGCAAGGATAAAAACAAGAGTCTGGCTGATAGTTGGCCCGCAGGCTTATTTTTGCGTCTTTTGGTTGCACCCATGACGCAAGATCTTGATTGATTGAAAAAGAGGCTCTATATCTGCGGTAGTAATGCATCTCGATTTTTGATGTGTTATCAGTGAGAGTTTAATTTCAGTATTCAATCCCAAGCCTAGGTATCGCATATGAATCTGCAGCAATCTGTTTTGATTCTTTTAGGGAAGAAATATTGTTGAAAATGACTTGGTAAAACTTGGAGCTTATCACACCCTCGATTTGGAGCCTAACAGACGATTTACTCTCGAAAAGACAGAGTGGGACACCATTGATCTGGGTATATCTACAATGACCTAGTTCATTAACAGCTTCTCATTTCATTATAAGTACATTTTTTGCAGAACGCCTCGATACTGCACTCGATCCGGCAGCGCAAGCGGATGTTGCTGCTATTGTTTTGCATGAAGGATTGGCTAATGTGTGCCTTCTTACTCCAGCTATGACTCTTGTTCGAGCTAAAATCGACATGCAGGTAGGTCTTTCTGTTTATAAATATGTGTAACTCAACTAGCTTTATCAGATACCTCGAAAACGGAAAGGATTCACATCTCAGCACGAAAAGGGCATACAACGGTTCCTTGATGCTGTCTCAGCAGCTTTCATGCGACATGTTAACTTGAACGTAAGTTTTAGGCAATCTCTTGGCGGGCAGAAAGGACATTATTGTGAACTGTCTATGTCTTTTCTGTGCCACCTTCTACAAAGTGTGTGTTGTAGAAGAAATTAAAATCTGCAATATGTAGTTCTCGGTCATGAAACCTGAGCATTGTCTTGAATTCAAGAATTTTGACGTGCAAAAATCCGCATTTAGAGCGTGTTGATGATCTGATTTTAGGTAATCAAATGTGTTTTGATAGCTAGTCGTGGCTTTTTGAAGGAGCAATTCTTGGAACATTTGTTACAATATGCTGATGCGCAGGGTAAAAAGGTAATCTTATATTATCTGTTTCTCACAGCTCAGCAATAATTGCAATTTCAGATCACCACCGAACAGCGTAGTAAATTCATGTTGACTCACTCTAGTAGTGGTTTCAAGCACGCTTTGAAAGAGGTGTTGGAAGATCCTGCTGTGGCCATCCGCCTAGCTGACACGAAGGTTGGTATTAGGCTTTTTGCAATTATTCCTTCCGTTCATGGCTTTTTACTTTATATTTGCGATAAGAAGGTTTTGCCCAAAAATTGCACTTTCTAGGCACAAGGCGAGGTGAAAGCGCTAAACACCTTTTTCGAGTTGATGTCTACGGAACCCGATCGAGCATTCTATGGCTTCAAGTCAGTTTCTTAACCGTGCTTTCAGTTTCATGTCGTTATGGTCTGGTAATCGTAATCACATTGTTAAGGCATGTTTCGATGGCAAATGCTGAACAGGCGATCGATACGCTTCTTCTTTCGGACTCCCTGTTCAGATCCCAAGATTTGGCGACTAGGAAGAAGTATGTAGCACTAGTGGAGAGTGTCAGGGAACAGGTATGCAGTTCCTTCAAACATTCGGGGTACTGAAGAACCTCGCCTTTAGTTGGCGTTATTTTTCTTGGTAGGTAGAATTTGTCATACTTGCACTGAGTTGGCTTCTTTTTTCCTTTCTATTTTCCATTTAATCTTGACTTATCTTCTCTTTTTCTTGTCACTCTGAAAGTGCCTTTCTAACGGTTTCGTTATCACATGTTTTAAACTGCTGTGAGCATAGATAAAAGTGGCATCATAAATCAGTGTAAGCTTATCTCTGGTCTTGCAATAAGCAGGTCCAATAGGTAGTGGCGCTCACAATGGACAGAATGGCATACCCACTGGTGCCTGATTTAAAAGTATTTGCTAATATTTCCGAGCTCTTCACTCCTAAATCACCACATTGTGAAGACACTATTCTTTTTTTTTTGCATTCACTAGAGCGTGAAATAAGTCAGTATCCAAAGCTTGTACTTGTGAGTGTCGCTACACCCAAGCTTGGGTAATTTTGGGGTAGTTATTCTGAGAGGGTATTGATGTTTGAAAAATTGTGATTCTGGGAGTTTTCATAGGCTTTACTCGGATATGATGAGCAAGAGTAATTATAATAGTTTTTCCAGAACGGAACTGTACACATATTTTCGTCTATGCATGTATCCGGCGAACAGCTAAGTTTATTGACCGGATGTGCTGCTATACTTCGATTTCCTATGCCTGATATAGAGGACGATACCCTAAGTGACGAGGAACAAACATAATTTGTTTATGGTTACTTTTACGCACTCCTATTCTTCACAACGTCTAAAAAGAGACGTGATTCTAGGGTGAGCTCTTGAGCCGGTTTGACCTTTTTTCAGATTGTTTCTTGTTTCAATCTAGTTTCATCTGACCCGATGCCAACCCATATTTTGGGTATTCTCTTTCACTAAGTACTTGTTATTGTTGTTAAATTTTTGTTTGTAAACTTATTCCACTGTAGTGCTTTCGCTTCTTGCGCTCACCATCGTTCTCTTCACGGTCAGCTCAAACGTCTTCCACGTATTTCACTGTGATCTGTTCATTCATACATCTCTACGCCTATTTTACTCTCCAGCTTTGTCAGGTAGTTCAATACGGGCGCTAGGGTTTGTGGTGTTCTGGTCACTGTCATTACTTACGGACGATATAAGAGCCTGTTAAATGCTTAGTTTCTGTGAAACAGCAGTGTAGGGTAAACAGTACAAGTTTCGTTTTTGAGAATCGTTATCTGGTCTGTGGTAGGATGAAATGAACACTGCTTGATTGCAATTGATTGTAATGTTGAAAGAAAACTTACCAATACGCTCGATCGCTTTACATGTTTTGTGGGACCGGTCCATGAAAAGGCACTTCATATATATGTCTTTTATGTATCGGAGCCAACGAGATGACTTTTATAGCGTGGGTTGAAACTGGGCTCTAGAATTTATAACGTCATGCTTCGCCCACTAATTAGGTTTACTCATATCACTAGTGAGTGATAGCGACGTCAGGTTGCGCTCACAGGATAGTCAACTCATTGGGGGTGGTGGCAGCGTGGAATCACGAAGATTTTTTCTTGCAGCATTACGTGCAAACCGTCTTAAAGATTACGGTATTGAAATATTGACGATGTAATCTGCTTAACACACAAAAAAGCATCTACAAGGGTTATCAGATGCAGTGTCGCGTGCACCGCATCTCCACTCCCGACGAGACTCTGCTCTCTTCCGCAAATAGGCACAAACATTTCCAATTGATTGAGGCTCCGCCTTTCCCAGGCTTGCCCTGGGAAAGTGCTTAGAGAGTATGTTCGCGAAAGAGGTGCAGAATCCAGGCGAAGCGACCGCGCGGAAGCGGAGATGCTAATGCACCCGACACTGCAGCTGATAAGCCCTGTAAAAGTTAACACGTCGTTGTGCGACATTGCGAAACTATCTTACTTTACAACCCGGATTCGGATTGTGACGGGGGGGGGGAGGCTGGAAGAAAGTGGCAAAAACTCTCTACCACCATCGTTTCTAGTTTCTGATATGCCTGTCAAATTTTTCAGGCTTACAACACTACAGTGGCGGCAGTCACGCCTCCAGGGAAGTATTCCGTAAAATTGATTGATCGACTATAAATATACAACTGTAGCAGCATAACTTTGTAATTGATGTGTATCTCGCGAACTCCTTCCTTTATGAGCTGGCCTTTTGTGCTTGCACCGGATTTTTTAGAAGCGGAAGGGTGGGGCTTGCACTTGCATATTCAACCATATATCCACAAATACAGTTGAGTAGTTCTATCGCTAATGTATGCTCATGACTGCATTAGTCATGGGGCTCAAAACTGCGTTGTTTTTTTCTTCATTGTTCATGCCTATCTTGTTTTCCCGTAGTTCTTTTCATTGCCGACGTAACTATGTGTGTAGAAGCGTGAATGATTATCATTCATTCTCTGACTAAGAGACACGAGCACACTTTGCGTACATCTGATCAAAAAATTTATGAGAAGGTTCTAACGCGTTTTGGAAAATTATAGGCGATTTACAGCAGGCAGAGAGTGCGGACATCGCGGCATTTCCGTGATCGAGCGCTATTTCGTTTCTCTTACCATCCACTCTCTCTCTCTATGCACAAACTATCTTCGTCGAACGCGACGGCGCCCAGTCTTTGCCTGTCATGAATCGGCGATACCAGTTAGAATCCGTGAAAGAACATGTCCAAACTTGCATAACGGGCTCGAACATGTCTCCGCAAATTTGTAATTGAAATCATCCAAAACGCGTAACGCACCCATGAACTTGTTAATCAGCACGCTAAGCGTGCTCGTGTCTCTTAGAGAATGAAAGATACATGTTTTGCATTTGTTGTTTGGGAGACCTATGCATATCGTCAACATCCTGAGAAGACACATGCACACTTTGGCGAAAGATGGTACATTACCCTAAATATGTTGAAACATCCTAATAAGCTCAGACTAGATATAGCTTTTTCCAATGATTTGTTTGACGCATCCAATTGAAATCCACGCAAGTTGACGAGACTTCACACTTTGTCATACATGTATAGGCCGTAAAACCGGGTATATGTCAAGAATAACGATAGCTGGCAATAGTGGCACCCTGAGTGCCAGGGTCTCAACAAACGGTGCACTGTAGCACCGCCACAGCAGCGGACGAGCTCACGCAGGCCCTACATTTTGTAGCAGTAAATGTCCAAAACTTTGTTCTTCTTCAAAAAGCTTTATGTTAAAGGCAGTGTCCGGGCAGAAACTCGACTTCTAAAAAATCAACTTATCTGGGGTTATCCGCAACGCTGAATCCGAAAATCCACATCAGAAGGCGCGAAAACGGCGAGAACATGCATTTTCCAAGTCGTCACACTTCGAAATTTGGGGATCCCCGCCAGGCTAAGACGCAGAGGTTGCAAAGAGCGCACGGTTTTTAACTGTGGCGGCATACGTACTCTGCCGTCTGGCAGGAATTCAAACAACTCGGAGGACCCCGCCCCAAGGCGTAAGTTTCCCCAATTTGCAATCGTTTTTCTTGCTTTAGGTCGAACGTTTTATGCTCGCAGTTGCGCGATCTTGGGTCTCAGGGGGGTACTTTCACATGGCAGAGAAATCTCAGAACCCCCATTTTGCCCGGACACTGCCTTTAAGGCTTCTGCTATTTTTTAAAGATGGAAATAATCAGCAATCACAACGCCATAAACACGCGATGAAAATGTTTCGGGCTCAATTTAGCATGTGAAGTACGTAAGCTTCTTTGGTCGTTGTAGAAAACGAACTTCAACGAAGAGAACTGAAGTTTTAAAGGCAGTGGACAGGCAAAATGGACCCCTGTCAGATTTTGATAGTTTCGGGTAGTGGACCCCCAAGTACACCGTAGCCCCAACCCCAACTTCCAATTGATGCGCTAAGTCCTGAAAAAAGCGCTTCAAACTTCTACCAATAACGCCCACTCAATGGAAGTGGGCGGGGCTGGTGGAGTTTTGAAGCGCTTTTTCCAGGACTTAGCGCATGGATTGGAATGTGGGGTTGGGGCTGCGGTGTACTTGGGTGGTACACTACCCGAAACTACCAAAATCTGACATGGGTCCATTTTGCCTGTACGCTGCCTTTAATAGTTTCCCTCACCTTCTTGAACGAGTGAGGGCGGGCTGTTCTGCGCGCGCGAGCAGCTGGCAGCTAGGGGCTGGCAGAGTTATCGTTATTCTTGACCGCCACCCCGTAAAACCTAATTGCCCGCACCGTGCCTTGAACACCAGCGTAAGCGAGCGGTCTCGCGAACGATTGTCGGCGTTCACTATAATCCAGGAAATCTTTCTTTGGCTTTCATGTTGTTCTCGTCAATGCAAGGTATATCTTGACGAAAGCTCCCTTCACAAGTTCAAAAAAATATGTGTGGAAAGGGTGCGCGCTCATTCTCGCTCGCAAAAAGCCTGTAGCGCTTCGGGAGCAAACGTTCCCAGCCGCGCCGCGCCTTGGTGTTCAAAACGACGCGTGGGCAATTGGATTTTACGGGGTCTGTAGCTGCACTTGTAGACTTTCCATTCAGTGCTTCAACTCAAATTGTGAACCCAAATTTAAATGGAAACTTCTTAACTCCATATTCATAAGTACAATGTGGCGAACCTGCATGTCAGAATGCGTTACTGCATCCAGTCCTTATTCCCCTTACTTTCCATCGTCTAGAAGACGCGCCAAATATTTACATGGCATGTCTACAATGACTACCTTTGAAACCTAGTTTCCCAAACTATTATGTGACCTAAGATACATACAACAAGACCAAGGAGTAATATCTGGTCTACGCGGAAGTGGCCGTCCCATGCGCCATACGTTGTTGACCCCAATCTTCACTTCATTCAAGGTCGTAAGACATTTTGGGTTCGCATCACAACTATCTCAGCATCGCTGGGAGAGGTCAAGCGTGTTCGTGTTCGATGAAATCGCAAATATTACAATGATGCAAAGTTCTGATTTTTGAAGACGAAATCTGCAAAAAGACATCACTTGCGCGCCATTCCAAAGACGCTATAATGTGTCACCCAATATTAAAAAAGTGATGTTCGACAGTAAGAAATAAAATAACTATTTATCACAAAACAACACGTCACACTTCTACTCGATCGGATGACGTTTCGACAAATATTAAATACTATGAAGTAGAACACCCATAAAGCAGATGTACGCACGGCGCACGATAACAATGAAACAAACATAGAAAAGAAAAGAAAAAATATGATTTGGTTCTTTCTTGTATATCACATTGTTTATAGTACAGAGAAACCATTGCTATGCCCTGGAAAAGAAGCAAAGAGAAAACATACAAACAAAGAGCGAAGGGAAGAAGATATCACTCCAGCATTTGGAAAAATTCTCTTTGGAATGAGTCCGAAAATGGGCTCAACGCATCTGGATGGTCATACTGCCAGTTCGTTGGCGATGATAGCATAGGATCGTCCATTAGCTTTTGATCTTCGAGCAAGATCAACTCGTCCATGGGATTTTGTGGATTCGGCGAATAGTTTGATGGACTAGGGAAGGAAGTGCAGATCGAAGGACTGAAATAATGAATCCATCAGATGCGGACAAAATGTTTGCATTAGTTTATTTTGCGAAGCGGATGCGAATGCCGCTTTCGAGCATCCTTCGTCATTCAAGCTCGCATGCTCGCGCAGGCTTCGCTTGTGTGGAAAGCCGCCTTCATCTGGGAGTACCTTTGATTGTTTTCACTATATCTATTCAAATTACTGCCTGAAAAGGACTATGCGCGTTCACACTGCATACTGTTTGCCCACAATGCGATACACACATCGCGCAAATGTTGGATTATCGCCAAGCTACAGTATCCTGTCAGCCAATGTTCGTGGAGCTTTTCAAACTCAAAAGGCTGTTCTCTTTTCGATTACAGTATAGCACTAAGGCACCGTCGGACTTCGCTCAAAAGCCCCCCCCCCCAAAAAAAAATCTCTCTTCAATTTTTAGTCACTAATCGCACGCGTTTCTAGGCGCTTAGGCTAACGCGGAACGTGTGTGGAGGGAGATGAAAGAAGTGCAAAAAGGATTGGAGATTTGGGCGCTTTTGAGCGAAGTCTGGCAGGCGCCTTAAGAGTAAGAACCGATTTGACAGAATGAATGAGAAAACAGAAGAGAAAAGAAATTACCTGGAAGAGCTCATGACACTCGCATCCACTGGCGATGTGCTTCCGGAAGAAGGGCAAGGTGGCTGGGTGCATATGGGCTCGATGCTAGAGCTTGGCTGCACGTTAAGCTGTTGCGTACGCTCTTCTTCTGGTAGTTGATTGACGAGCTGGTCGAGATCGAACTCGAGATTCTGAGAAGATGAGGCACTATATAAGTACGTTAGAAAACAGTGATATTTGTGCTATCTCACCTCGTCTGAGAAATCCGAGAGGATCTTTTCGAGCTCATCTGACTGGAGCACACCACCAACAGGAGGTTGATCATAAGATGAAACAGGAGATAGAGTGGGACAACCTGTACCCTCGGCAGGGGTCCACTAATGAATGCGGCAGATTCAACAGCAGCCCCACTCGTCTCCGGTAACACCTCATGCACCTCTTCATAGATGACATTTGATTGCGATGGAATCACTTGACATTGGACATCTCCACTAACGTTTAGGCGTCGGATGAGGTCATTGTTTTGTTCTGTGAGTTCCTGATTCTCTAGTCTAAGCAGTCCATTTTCTTGTTTAAGTGCTTCATTTTGTTCCAATAGCTCTCGAACGACGTCTTCCAGGCGCTGACTTCGGTACTGAAAGCGATTGAATGGGGAACTTGATTGTAGTAAGTGTTGTAGAGTTTTACACTTCATTTCAATTTTCTACAGATCCACTTATTTCAATCATGAACAACGTAAAAATTCTGAATTAAGCTTCTATTTTCGAACACAACTTTGAAGAGTGCATATTTTGATGAATTTGAGCGTGCTTTAGCTTTTGAGAGTCAATTTTGCCAAGAGCCAGAAATTTAGAAAAATACTGTGCTCGCTCACAAAAAGAAACAAAGATGACGATTCTTGATGCAAAGCCGCGAGAAAAACAATAGAAGTTTCTATAATTAGAAAGAAATTTGAGCTCTAGTTGTCAATTGCATCATGTGACAAATGGCACTTCAAGACATCAAAAGATGTCTAATCTTGACGCAAGCTGATTATCAAGTCACACAAAAAACTGATAACGTCAACGAAAAGGCATGATAAACGCTTTTGAATTCCAGTACCAACAAGATCGTAACGATATAAACCTAACAAAAAGCTTTGCATGCGGGTAACCAAGCGATAAAGGCGCCTATACGTAGCAGAACCATTTTCCCACTTTTCAAGGAGAAAAGCTAAATAATATGCACCATTTTTCGACAACAAGACTGGATAAAAGCTACACTTTACCAAAATAGTAAAAGATTAGACTGTAGATGCTTCCAGATAATAAAGCAACGAAGATAAACATCAACATGAACACCAACCTTCTTCCTATCCCTAGCGGTTTGTGCGGCGATCCTGTTCTTCATCTTTCGTCTGTTCATCTTCTGTTCGTGCGTCAGATGATCCAGACATTCTCGTTTGCGTTGATGAGGCTGTGGAGTCTCACCCAACAATATCTCAATCGGATCAGCACCAAGCGGCGGCCGCTTCAGCGGCGAAGTCGACTTCGCGAGTCGCGACGTTGGCGTCGCAATCCGTGGCGTCGGCGCTAGCGGTCGTGGTATCGCTATGGTAGGTTGTGCCACCACATCGGCTGGCACCAAATAGAATGTTCGATGTGCTGTCGTCGTCATGATGACTTGTGTTGACTGAGGTAGTGATTACGGTAGCACAGTGATACAGTATGGCCTTGGGCTATGGCCCTGTAAGCTGTCGCGTAGAAGACAACCACACTCCGACGAGGTTCGGCAATAACTACGACACGTCAGCACTACACCAGTCGGCTAGTGATTGGTCGACGCCCTGAATCGATGTGCTTGGCCACGCCTACTGAAGAGCGTGCGGTGGGTAGAGAGCGTAGACACAATGCGAGAAAGAGCGTGCGAGCGGAGGAGAGTGCAGACGTGGTCCCACAAATTGACTCATCGCATTGGAGAAAAACCCTTGCTGAGTGCGGGCTGTTCTATATCCTGGTGCAAGTGCACTCACTCATCGCGCAATTTCCAGAAAAAGCTACCGTAAATAGGGCAATCCTTGTTTTCTCAATTATGAAAAGGCTCTTCTATTTGTGGAAAGTGGACGATTGTGTACGTCTGGAGAGTTGTCCTAAGGCTTAGTACGAAATATTTATGACAAAGTTTTATGCACTTGCTGCGATCGTCTTATCAAGTTATCGCGCTAGCATAGCAAACACATCAAGCTAATTAGTGTCTGATTAGTGAGCATGTCGTTGCTTTACGAGCGCAATCAAGCTCTTAGTATTTGGCTCACACAGAACCATACAGGAAAGCGATAAGATAGGACAGAGCATGTGATTCCAAAATTAGATATGCAGTCGAAGGATGCCGAAAGCCAAACCGTCATAAGGCTTTCAGATAAATAGCATTTTCTTCTCTTCACAATGACGTCAATCTCTGCTATTTATCTTTACGACAGAATGTGCCTTTTACGTGAGGAACGCAGAATTGTAAAAAAGAAAAGCAGGAATCGTGACCGGAGATTTGAACTTAGTTCTCAATAGGCAACATATTTTTTTTGTTTTTGTACGTGAGTTAAGTCGAAATGTATTTTTTTTTTGTAATAGCAATCTAAAATAGAAAGGTATCATTCATTCTATGACTAGGAGACGCGAAACCGCATTGCACACATTGTCTAAACAAGCTTATCGTGTACTTAGCAGGTCTATATTTGTTATTTATCTCGTCCAGATTTATTCACTCTTTGAAAACAGGAAAGAACAAACTCAAACTTGTTAAGACAACGTCTGCAATGCGGTCTCGCGTCTCCTAGTCATAGAATAGATGATACCCGAACCAAAGTCTGATAGTCATAACCAATTGCCAGCATCTTTAATCCATATCACCAACGCGGTCCCCTTAAAAGTCACATCAGAATTTTTTTCAGACGAAAATGATCAAGTAACTCCAGCCTTTGAACGAATTCTTCTGACCGTGGCAGTTTTGGGCCCTCCTTGCACCTGTTTCAGTTTAAACATAAGCCGTTATTGTCTATTGTTTATTGCTTGATTGTTTATTTGTTTATTTGCACATATCCTCCGAGATTTGATACCACAAAAATTATTATAAACAAAATTAATAGGAGCTGCCGCAGCGATGGGGGGGGGGGGTGGGGAGAATTATGGGAGGGAGAAGTTACACTTTGAGCTTACTTTCACGTGTGCTGCACCAATGGTTCTTATGGTTTTCAGAATCAAGGATGAGAATAGAGTAACATCAGGGAAAGGAAACCTTTTTGGAAGTGTCAAGAGAATCAGTAGATTAGAAATTATGCAGACCGCTACAACGAATGGCGAATCAAATAAATTCTGGAGAAACTTGTTTCGTCCACTAAATTGCTTCTGCACCAACTTACGAACGAGTTCTGAATGGTGAAAAGTGGCTTCGAACCTCTGTTTCTTGCATCTCAAGTGCCAATTCCAGTTTCTACAAAATTTCGGAGAACTTGTTCTACTCTTTTTCTTTTATGTTGCTGTCTGTTCTTATCTAGTCCTGCGAAAGCTGTTTTAGGTCATCGTTTGATCACGCAACTCGGACAAACCAAAGAAACCAACATATCTAGAATTTCATTGCTTGCCATCGGCGTAATAAAAAGAATATTCCAGCAAATATCGAGTTTTTTCGGCGATGGGACGTCGGCTGCTATTGCATCATATGTCTTGAATTTTGAATCTCTTAACAGCTAGTCTTTCTCCCACGCATAACGCTTTTTCATGTCTTGATTTTAAGAATCATAAAATCGAGGAAAGGAACGCGAAGAAAATTAAATTGTTAGGCTGATCCATGATTCCAAATTAAATTTTATATTTCTTTAAACCCACAACAACTGTTTTTAATCGAAACAAAATCGAAATGTCGAGTTTAAGGAGTCGCAAAATAGCTATCAATAGAAACGTCCAGCACCAAAAATCTCTCAAAGTCAAAAAGAGTAGGTACGAAATTAAAATCAAAAATAAATCAGATTTTTGGGCATCCTAGCATTTTTAGACCTTAATGAAAAAATTACGACTTGAGTGTTTCTGGAATCAGCACATATCACGGTCATACTCGAAACTGTCATTCTGGATTTTTGCCTCAAGGCAGTATCGAAAAGCGGATGATCTCTTTCTAAGCTTCGAAGTTTTTTTCTTCCTGAGCTATGTCGGCTGAAGTGAAGAAATTCGTTGAAAACACAGATACTTGTGACTTTCCAAAAATTTCGGTGCAAGACTTTGAATCAACCTAATGAAAAGCTTGTAAAGGAAAGAGACCGTGACAGAAAACGAGTTTATGATGTTTGAATGAGATGCAGTAGCTGTGTAATGCAAATTCATGACTAATTTTCTATTTCATTAAGTGCAGTCATCATCTGGTTTCCTAATGACCATAAAACGTGCAAATGTAGTTTTTGGAAACATCGCTATCGTATCCCTTTGAATCAGCACTATTTATATTGTCATTCACTGATGTAATATCCATTTCTGATCGCCCGTTAACAAAGAGTTTTTCGGCAACAAAATTTGTCCTAAATGTGAACCAAAAACACAATTATTGACATTGTCCGACCCCGTGGACGCACGGGGCCGGCAACTGTACCAACAAGTGCCGGGGCGATGTGATTTCCCTCTACAACTAGTGCAAGCAAAGAGCGATTTGTGTAGCTTTGACAAAAAAGAGGAAAGAATTGCGGGGCGAAGTATGGGATGCGAGGCGGAGGGGGGGGGGAGGGGGAGAGTGGAACGAAAATTGCATCATGCGTGTGTACGAATGTCCCACCGCGTTGGAGATATTGCATCATGCGATTATGACTCTTCACCTACTTCAACGTAAGAATTGTATTCCCATAACTGGTTACGTGATCGATGAGTGGAGTAAACAGGAACTGATGAAACTGTAGATAATGGCCATTAATCACTATTTAGCTTAAAAAAGCTCAAAAGATCCTGCAACTGTCAAATTGCTGTAGTCACATCATTTTGTTTTCGCGTTTGACGTTTTCAAAAGTTTTGTTGTCGTTTTACTGTCTGCAGTTGGATGGCGTAAGTTGTGAAAGAGATCATAAAAAATTTTTTTATGCTCTGTGCAAAGCATGAAAGGAAAGTCCATATCACAACGATTTTCTGATAAGTTACGAGAGGCCAGTTGACAGTTTTGCTGAAATTATATTCAGTGTTTAAGCAAAAACCGTCGAAGCTGATTTGTAGGTCTGATTTCAAACTGCTTTTCATTTCCGAAAGTCTTACAGTGAACCGCAGCAGGAAGCAGATAAAAATCTATTAGATCGTCCCGAAAGTTCGTTCGCACCATTTTCAGAAAACCCATAACTTCTGATTTCTCTAACCGATTCAACTGCTTCAATTTTTATGTGAAAGAGTAAGTCATGCTCTTTATAAGGACATCTTAGCTGATTACTAATGTTCAGCTGTTGCATAGATAGGAGAGGTAGAAAAAATTAGTCAAATTTTGAACTTTCTGTGTAGGGTCATAAAAAATCGGAACCTTGCAACAAAAGTCGGAGCATTCGGTATTGTAGGTTCTGTTATCTACTTTTTCTAACCGTGCAAGGTTTGTGCTAATTGAACATCTCTATGAAAATTTATGGTTTTTCGAGCAAGCAATACAAAAAGCAATACAAAGCAATACAAACACGATATTGATTTATTTTGGCATTCTTCTCGAGAATCATAGCATTTGATAGAGTCGTTCAACCAGCACAGACTTTGCAGTGTTAGAAAGAGCAGGTAATAGAACCTATAATGCCGATTGCCCCGATTTTTGTTGCAAGCTTCCGATTTTTTGTAACCCTACACAGGAAATATAAAATTTAAGTGATTTTCTCTTACCGCTTCTATCTGATGAATATTGGTAACTAGCTAAGATATCTTTATAAAGAGCATGGTTTGCTGTTTCAGATAAACGTAAAAACACTCGAATCGGTTGGAAAAATCGGAAGTTATGAATTTTTGAAAATGGTGCGAACGAACTTTTTGGACGACTTTATATAAAGGAAAGAGTGCAAAACTGGAAATTTTTTTCGACTCGTTGAATTTTTTTCCCAGTTTGGGGATCCTTTCATTCGTTAAAATCAGACTCGATGAAGTTTTTCACTTCTTCAAAAAACTTAAATTTTGGCCCATCTCTATGCGACAGATGCAACTGTTAGCATATCTTTTTTTAACTTCTATATCAAACCTTCGCACCCTATGTGAACAGCGCGTCGCGTTATTCGTCACAAGTAAAATCTGCAATCACTCATTTAGAAGTTATTAGAAAAAAGAGGACGGCTCCACAGTCACTTTCCTAGAACCTGTGATGATTTTCTTTGCAAATGAACACATGAATTATCATTTCTTGGCCAAGCCAAAAAAGCTATAGGCGAGGTTATGTTTGCGAGAAATACAATATTTTAATAGAGTAAACCGAGGAAATTACTATAGTGTGGACCCCGGCCAGCTTCCCATAGGTACCTGCGCGACGCACCCGCAACGCACGCCTTCAGTGCGTCTCCTGTCCTAGCTTCTGATGGAAATCCTCCTTTCTCTTCTTTTTTTTTGTTTTTGGTGTACTATACTCTCTCTATTTTAGGTATAAACAATTCGAGATGACCGGTGACGAGATTTCACGTGCTCTAATAGTTCTAAGAGCTTCAGTCTTGTGTAGTAGTCTTGTGTCTTCCCTTTTTTCTTTGAAAAATTGAGACTTGATTCGACATTAAGGTAATATTCTTTCAAAAGCTCCTGTATAAAATAACAGTCCCTCTCGACTTGATCTTTAGAGTGTAGACAGTGTATCAAGTCAAATTAAGCCTTTCGAGAAGCCAATAGGCATTTGTTTACTGAAATGTCCACTTTTTTGAATTCGTTGACCACTCTAGTTTCTAAGTCTACGAAGAGAAATGTTTTAAGAATGCTATTGTTCTTTAATTTCTTTACGTATACTTATTACAACCTATCCATCAGTGCAAGTTCGGAATATGCATCTATTGATTGAATTTGAGGTGGTACTCATGGAGGTTGACTACGTTTCATTCTTGCATACGTCTCTTTCGAAGTGAACCTAGAGGTTTCCACTTTACATTTCCTCCTTTGTGAACATAAATATGCTCTACTGCTCATGAGTGAGGCGAGAGGCATTGAGAAGGGCGCGCGCTGCGTGCGCGCTGCGGAAGTACCTATGGGAACCTAGCTGGGGTCCACACTATAACAAGGGAACGATCACAACCCAAGGTGGCGAATTGGAATAAACCGCATACCATTAGATGCGTCTTGATGAGCTGATTCTAAATCTACCTTCTATATCTGCGACAACATTATTTGCAAAAAGTTATGAGCGGTTAAAAATGTGAAGTTTTCGGGGTTTTAATGCATAATATGCTTTAAAATCCAACTTGGAAGTGCACGACTAGCATGATATTGAGTGTACTGATTCCAGGGAATGCTCAGATTCTAAAGAAACACAGATAAGTGTTTTTGAACAGCTAAAAAGCAACTAAAGTTCTTTGGTAAAAGCTATGAGCAATGAAAAGTCCAAACTCGGCAAATGTACATCGCCATACCTCGAAATTTAGTTGTTTAAAAACACTTATCTGTGTTTGTTTAGAATCTGTGCATTCCCTGGAATCAGTAAACTCAATACCGTGCTAGTCGTGCACTTCCAAGTTGGATTTTAAAGCATATTATGCAGCAGATAAGTGTCGCAGATATGGAAGACAGATTTGGAATCAGCTCATCAAGACGCGTCTAATGGTATGCGGTTCATTCCAATTCGCCACCTTAAGTTGGAATCGTTCCCTTGTAAGATGCCTCTCCACATTTGATACTTCAATAACCCAATAAAGTATGCCAACATTGGCTGAGTATATTTCATGGCATCAAGTAGAGTCAGGGCTCGGCACGAGCTGGCACCAGGGAACTTTCAGAAGTCCCCCTTGATTTTCGTTAAGTTTTACGAAGTTCCCCTTGACCCTAAACCCTAGACCTAAACCCCCAAAAAACGAAACGTCGACTAAAAAAACGTCGCAACTTGTCGACAAAAACGATATCCCCTTTGCTATTTGACCCAAAAACGATATCCAGCTTGCCCCGTGCCAGCTGGTGCCAGCCCCTGAGTAGAGTGTATGGTAATAAAATATAATACTTTATTGACTTTATATCACACCCTTCCATTTAGAATGAAGATCTTCGAAAGTAGCCCAGAAAGTTATGGGATATGAAGATCGAGTGACTTGTCTTCAGTTGTAAGTCGAAATTGCTTTTCAAATCATGAAAATCTAATCGATTTTCGTAAAAAATTTTGATGAGAAACCCGCAAAAATTAGAAAAGCATTCCAGCATTGTTTGCTTACAAATTTTTTGCTTTTTTCACGACACTAGACTATCCAACCGAATCGACTACTTATATGAAATTGCCTATAATTAGAGGGTCAGTCACCGAAAGTGATGTGGCGGTCATACAATTTCAGTCCGAGTAAGTCGATGATTACTGCGCGCCGTGAATAACTTTCCAAATCAACTCAAAATGTTCGCGAACCGAACTTGTTGTATTCATGGGTTAACCCTTTCGGACCTGAGTTTTTGCAAGTAAGTAAAGAAGCCTCTCTCCTATTGTTTTTTACTTATTACCATACGAATAACATTATAGCGGAGCTTGGAGTCTTTTTAACCTCAAATTATTTCTTTTCGATTTTTTAATATTTTGGTTTTGCTTTGCTTTTGATTTTCAAATTTGCCTAGATACAAGTAGACCCGCGAACAGTTAGCAACTACACTTGGACAACATTATACTCAATCTTCTTGGTAATATAATGGGTATTTTCAGGTAATAAACGAGATTACTGACACGGTGCTGAAGCCGGCACAAATTATTGATCAGCTGCAATTCACTTGTATACAAAAGATTTCGTATTGCTGACTGGAGCCAAACGTACACGCGGGTTTCAAAGCTATACTTGGAAGGCGAAAGCTATATGAAGCGATCTGTAGCAGTGAGCAGTAAAAATATGCTCTTGCGCCAGTACAATGAGTCTCTGAATTGATGGTGGCAATTGCCACCACCAGATCCGAAAGGGTTAATAGGCAAAAAGAAAAGACAATAGCTAATTTCACTCCCTTACGGACGTAATCTCACTTCGCAGTAGTAAAAATTACGAAGATTTTACGAGAAGGAGGGGAAGAAAGAGGGAAAAAGGTGGAATGAGTTTCTATGGGAATGTGCAGCACGACCTGCCCAAAAAGTATTTTACTCCGACATTATTTGTTCGATGTCGGACTTAATACTTTTGAACGGTGTTGGGAACTGTACTTCTAGTAGTCTTCGAAGACATGCAGCAGCGACGACCATAGAGATTCAGTTAGGGAGAGGAGTTATGGGCTATTCAAATGAGAAGATGTGATTTACAGATTTCTTAAAAACTCCTTTAGCTGCGATATTTTTGTCTACTAATCTGTTACCATTTATGTGGGACAAACTTTTGCTTTCAATATGAAATGATCAGTCTCCAACAATCTACTAATCCAGTCGTCCTTAAAGGCAGTGGATCGGCAAAATCCAACAAATCAGGATTTTAAGGCGTTAGGTTCCTTGTCACCCAAGTATCAAAACAGTGCAATACCGGTTGCACAGCATGCTTTCCCTGCCGAGAAAATCGCTCTCAAACTTACACGCGCAGGCCAATCTTACACGCATCTGGACGAGTTGGCAATTTCCTTCTCCCCACTGGAGGTGCCCGCCGCAACGCTATAACCAATGGGTCCTGCAACGGTTTAGCGTCATCGGCCTTGCTTCACTCGTCCAATTCCAAGGACAATGAAAAACGCTTATTTTCGCCGTTTTCAAGCTTTCAAAAGTGGATTTTCGGGATCAGCGTATTGAATAACCAAATAACAACCAGTAAGCGCAAATTTGACTACCCTAAAATCCGGCATATAAGATCGCCTCGCAGTAAAGACCGCCTCGCCGATAAGACCGCAAAAGAGCTCTCAGTTAAGTCCGTGACAGCCTCGCGCGCCTCGCGCGCCGCCAAGTCCCGCGGATAAGTCCGCCTTATTTTTTTCACTTGAAAACAAGAAGGATGCGCAATTGCGCTGCCTTTTTTGGTCTCAGAATGAACCGAAGCAACAGATCTTTATTCAGGTAGCATTCCATGTTCATCATAACAAACATTCATGGCAACAACTTGACCAGAAGAACGACCATCGTTATCGTTATTATCAGCAACAATCAAAGCGTCGAAATCCTCGTTCATGCCTTCTATTATTGGTTCGTCATCGAGAGCCTTGGTGAAACTGTTCGCAGTGGTTTCTTCAGTGTTTGCATTGAAACTCTCGTAGACTAGTGCAGCTTCTCCGTAGGTCATCCTTTTCCTGGCGCCGCCTGTTGTGTACCTTGCACGTGCTGGATCGGCCATCCATCGCTCCCATCCCGCCCTCAGATTGTCTTTGAAGGGCTTGTTGATGCCGACGTCGAGAGGCTGTAGATATTTGGTCATTCCGCCTGGAATGACCGTGATCTTTGAGTGCTCCTTGAAAAGCTCTCGGACGTCTTCTGTGAGATGGCACCTTAAAAAAGCAAGATAAGCTCAAGAAATGATAAAATACGAAATGATACCTTGCAGAATCTAATATGAGTAATGACTGCGAGGGATCGTTGACATAGCATTTCCGTTTGTTCCACACCTTATGGAGCCATGTCCTCATCAGTTCGTGATTCATCCAGCCTTTATCATTGGCTCTAACTACCACTTCAGGAGAGAAATTATCCTTGGGAATCCTCTTTTTCTTGAATATGATCATCGGTCTTAATTTCTCTCCAGCGGCCGTCACAGAGAGGACAACGGTAAAATTCGATTTTTCGTGTCCTGTTGAGTCAATCCTTGCAGGTATCGGCTCCCACTTGATCCACGGTCCTTGAATAAACCATATCGAAGGGCACTGGGACTTCATCGACATTCCCAAGATTGTGGGGGGAGATGTGAAGCGATTCCCTTTGTACGAATCTCCTGAAGTCCGCGCAGATGTTTTCATAATCCTCCGGAAGTGCTTGGCCGACACTGGTTCTTCGCCTCAGAGATAAGTTCTTTCTCTTCATAAAGCCTTTGCACCACATCGCCGATGCCCTGAAGTCCTGGTGGCCAGATTCCCGCGCTAGCTGCAATGCCTTCTCGCGAATGTCTTTGACAAGCACTGCTCGGCTTCCTTCTCGCGTCTGCACAATCCATGCATAGAGAGCTTCCTCTATTTCCTCCACCTTTGGCTTCCCATGACGGTTGGCGCGTCTCCTCAGTGGCATATCCTCCAGATTTTCTTTATCGTCCTTCCATCTTCTAACCAGACCATCAGAGACTTCGTAGCGAACAGCGGCAGCCGATGTTCCATGTTGCAGGGCATATTCCACCACGTTAAGCTTAAAAAGCGCGGTGTAGGACTTCCTTCTGGGAGCCATTGAGATCCGAGATACCTGAACAGCTTGAGTCACACCGTGTGAGAGTATGTTGGAAATATAGGGCTCTGCGTGATTGCGAACTTCGCTGAGTTAGCGGTCATTGCTTACTGGAATCACGCGGAGTCCTATAAATTTGTGCTGATCATCGAAAGGTTTACTCTTTTACAAGAAAAAGCAGGCGGCGTCAAATTTGACTACACTGTCTTTTGTCTTGGATGTACAGGCTTAATGAAACAACAGATGACAAAAAGAACAAGGAAGCCTAATGCTTTGCTAAGGTTGAGCATTCTCAGGCTGTCACTCTTCCGTTCAAGAAAGCATTTGACAAAAGCCGTATGGCATGGGTCAACAGAGACTACGTTTAGAACATGAAAACAATAGAGAAAGCAAAAAGTATAGGAGTCAGGTTCAAGGGTTGTAGCCTGTACGGGTTCGAGAGATGTATTAAAAACATTGTAGCTTCCAAAACGATAAGATGAATGATAAGATGAGATGATTGCAATGATATAATGAGAAAACCTATTATGATTTTTCGGACAGAAAAATTCCATTTGTACAAGCACTGTCTTATATAGGAAAAGAACCCACCTGCGTATGTGATGACCAATCCGCGACGAAACTGTCAGCAATTAGACTGCACGACTTGTCGAATCCTTCGGCGGTCTCTTTTAGGGGAGTTCACGGCTTGATTCCAATCGCTGAAACATGTGATATCCAGAACAACTTCTCTGTAGCGTTTTGCAAAACCGAACCGTTTGTGTCTTTGTACTTCGTCACTTACTGCTTGGAACAGAGTATGCGCGACGATCAGCGTTCTAAAAAAGCTTTGTAGGAGATGCATGTACTGTAGTTAGCCTATATCATAAACCTCCCCTGCCTAATATTCCTGAAAATGGGGTAAAATCCTACCTTACTATCGCGTCATCAATTACAACACACAAGAAATGTTATATCTAAGAAAAGAACTCACCTATCCAGCGTATATGATGACAAATCCTCGGCGAAACTGTCAGCAACTAGTCTGCACGGCTTGTCGAATACTTTGGCTCTTCCTTTCAGGCGATTTCGCGGCCTTGTTTAAATCTACACCGGCAAGCTACGCGGGCGGTCGCGCGCGTTTGTGCTCCTAGGTCGCGCTTGCTCATGCTCAGGACAGACGGACGTATCTGCGAGAGGATTTAGGCGGACTTATCTGTGAGACCTTTTGCGGCGTTTTTCCATCGATTTTCCTGCCAAAACTGCAGATAAGTCCGTTCTTATATGCCGGATTTTAGGGTAGGTTGAGATTTGCCCAGCCACTGTTTTTAAGAGATCATACTAGGCAGGATTGCTGGGAAATGTCGAGCCCCACATAGAAGATGTCATGAAATGTCAGAACGGATCAAGCTTATGGATATGGCATCAGCACTGATATGCATGCGTTTCTTGACGATTAAAGGCAGTGGCTCGGCAAAAACATCTCGAAATTTTGATACGGAAGGTTGCTTGCATCCTAAACATCAGAACAGAGCAGGTCCGAGTGCACTACATGCTGCCCTTGCCTAGTAAACTGACCCTAAACCCGTGCGCGCAAGCCATTCTTAATGCGCTCGGACGAGCTTGCGGTCCCCTCCTACCGTCAGAGGCGGCATGTTGCAATGTTTTCAACATGAAGGTCCGGCAACGATACGTCTTTGACCATCGCGGGGAGTGGTCCACTCGTCCGAATTCAAAGTGAGAACCTTGTGTGGCGAAATAGCGCCTTTGGAATAAGTAGCTCCGCTATGTTATTAGACGTAAGCTTAGAGCTTTATTGAGTCAGACGACCTGCATGGGTGCAGTGGTAGAATACTGCATGTAATGGGCGTGACAAGGTAGTATACATGCATCTCTGCTATGGAGATACTCAGTCACAACAGGTCATGCTTATGGCATGACCTGTACGGTACTTAGCAGTGAGTGAAGTTACGACAAAGAAGGGTGCCGACATTGTCGACCTTGGGAAATGCTTGTTTTTGACATCTTCATACTTTTCAAGGTGTATTTTCGAAATCAACGCGTCGAGTTACCCCAGGTAAGCGAAAAAACTTCAGGTTGAGGATTTGTCGAGTCACTGCCTTAAAGCAAGTATATCCCATTAGTGAGAGTAGTTGGTGGGGAATTTTCAAAGTATCATTGCGAGCACCCACAGCCCCAGGCGCAGCCTGCAGTAGCGGTCTATAATCTTACAAGAGAATGGCCAGAAATCGAAGTGGCCAATCCAAGCAAGCGACACACCATTAGATGCAGCATAAAACGCTGGCTCTAAAACTTTCCTTATCTTCTGAACACTTTTAGGATGAAGCTATAAGACGTCAAAAACTCCATTATTTAATTTGCTCAGAAATCGTGCGTGTAAAGGGCAAATCTGAAAGTACAGAACCATGTTCGGCTTGATGCTAGACCGAAATAGATAATCAGCTAGGTTACTTCAAATGGTCGATACTTAAAGGTGAACTAAAAAGGCGCACAGTCCGTGTCAACAATGTGCTCCCTGTTTGATCAGCTCAAGCGCAGCACTAAACTTCAGTGCCGCGTACGCAGGCGCGCCGTTTCAGCGTTTAAAGTAGCCGCATCGATCTGCGAACGCTGCGCAATGCCCAAGCGCTGCGGATGCTTAGTTGCTACGGAAAAGGGAGCACGTGGTTGACATTGACTGTATGTACGATTTTCCCCAGTAATAACTGCCATAAATTTGCCCTACAAAGGCGTTCAGCAGATACGAAAGACAGATTGAAGTCAGCGTTCTATGCTGCATCGAATGGTAAGCATATGTCCGGATTGGACATTTCAACCTCTGACCATTCCCTTGTAAAACTGACCCTACGCGGCCATACTAATAGATTGGCAACCTGATCGATGTTATTACGAACGAAAGATCGCGGGCTCTGAACTTTTTATTGCAACACCCACGGCCCAAGAACAAACGCTCGGACAAGCCTCGGCCCTCATGGACTTGGCGCTTTTTTAGTTTTGGACAACGGCTCTAAACAGAGTTTTTTATCAAGCAAGCCCGGGGCCTTATTAAAAACCGCCCATAAACTTCAATCAGCGTTATGGGCACCCCGGCCTTTCCATGCCACGCCTAACAGAATTACTCGGGGGAGCCCGGGCCTTGCTGGACGTCACAGTTCTTGTACGATGTGAGCGGAAACGTAACTCGCGCGAGACACACGCGGTGATGGGGCTACGTCTCAACGTTTAGATCGTAGGTTATCGTTTTTCGCCTCTCGCCGCCTTGCTACTCTTCTCCCCTTGAAGTCTTTTTTGTCACTGTTTTCTATGCTCGGACATCAGAAGCGCCTGCTCTTCGTGCTTGTTATGTTGGCGTAGCGACTCCAGTTTTTGCTGAAGATCCCAGCACAGAGATATCCAATGGTCCCTATCCCTGAGTTCAGACATACGATCTTCTTGGTTGTCGCCAGTGGCGTTTACAAGTTTCAGGTGCAAGAAGCATATTCCAGGATTTCTCGCTGGTCTATTCACGTTCACGTCTGCCTATCTGTAATGGTAATCCTCGGGGAATTTCTGCTTCAAGCGAAGCCCACGCTAATCTCAGTGCTCCGTCGTCTGTAGTTCCCATGATGTGACTCCACCTATGCGTCGCTTTCGCAGTGATTCCGCTGTGTTACGAAACTGCGACATTCTCAAACGTGTACAGTAGGTTTCGACCCGCTTTAGGCGGAATTTGGACTGGCGGGAGTCCGCCTCGCAACAGCTCGCGCTGTTTCGCAGCTACAGTATATCCTATCGTGCTGAGAACCCATGTCTGCGTCTCTTCAATCTCTCTAGTCTTTGCTTGGCAAAATGCCAGCGCTATGCGCTCGCGAAGCCTCCAGCGATGCGCATGTGCTGCTCCACGTAGGATGTCTCGCCTAATCTGGGATGAAACCGACTGTACTGAAATCCAACAAGATGTTGTTTGTGTCAGCTCATCTTCAGGAAGTCTGTGCTCAAGCGCTCTGTTGGTCCATCCGTTCCGAAAACGTGTCTGCCTGTCTGTTGGTGGTAATCCTCGGGGAATTCTTGCTTCAAGCGGAGCCCACGCCGATCTTAATGCTCCGTCGTTTGTAGTTCCGATAAGTGACTCTACCTATGCGTGCTTTCGCAGTGTAATCCGCTGTGTTACAAAACTGCGACATTCTCACGTGTACTGAAATCCAACAAGATGTTGTTTGTGTCAGCTCATCTTCAGGAATTCTGTGCTCAAGCGCTCTATTGGTCCGTGCTTTCGGCAAAGCTACAGTTTCGGCCCAGATCTCAGCTGCGTAACAGAGCGCCGGGAGAACGGTTGAGTCGAACAGATGGACACGAAGCTCCGGGTCCGTTAGTTGGTCGGTGGCTTACTTCCGAAGCCCGAAGGCGGCCCAGGCTGCTCTTATTCTCTATTTAAGTTCTTCCCTCAAGTCGTTCTCCATGCTAATCGAATGTACGAGATACACGTAAGAAAACGTTTCCATAGTAGAGGTACCTTACAACTCCATTCCCT